CTCCCTCCCTCTCTCTGTGGACCCTGCGCTCTATATGCCCATCGTGATTGAACTGTTGTATGCAATGACAATGTGACTGTGCCAGGTTAGGAATGAATTGAGAAAAGACAGACATGATATTGCGTATAAATCCAAAAAAAGCAAAAAAATGGAAAATCCAAAAAATCCAAAATCCGAAATGTCTGTGTTATTGTGAATTAATTCCTAACCTGGCACAGTCAGATTGCATAGAAGAGTTAAGGCACTAACAAAATACCCATACAGACAGACAGACAGAGATCGCAGATATATATATAGATATAGATAGATTACGAGAGCCCAGACCCTCTCATAACTTAAGACTAAGATGGTTTGTTGAGTCAAAGCAAATCAAAGCAGCCAATCAGAGGAGCCCAATAGATATAGCGTGTAGGAAAAAAAAATTCGCCGCCGGGCGCGCGGTGTGTATCACCGCCGCACCGCCGGCCGCGCGGTGTTCATGCGTTCACGCCTCGCTGCGGCGCTCTATCTATCATCGCGCCTCATGGCCGCTGTTACAATATACACACACAGATTATAGGTACTTTATTGCCGATTCAGCTCCTTCTCCAGCTGGCAGAAGAGAGAACGGTCGCCTTCCCATGAATTCGAAGGTGCAATACTCGAGGAATGTTTGACCTGCCTCGTAGCCATTTCTCTTGTAAATCTCCTGAAAAGTTATATACGGGAATAGATGCAATATCTGCGTGCTGATAGTTTTGTAGCTCTTACAAATGGTATTATTTGGGGATCACATAGAATGCAATAAGATAGACCAGAAATTCCTAGAATAACGACTAAAATTACGTTGCATGGAGCTCGTTAGAAAAGATCTACCATCAATGACATCGATAATAAAATCTACTTGCAGATTAAAAATCCGCTTGGCGTGATTTACAGGAGCTCCGGTCAATCAATATTGCCATAGGGGCGTTCCGAAAACGCTGTTTAGTAACGATGTACCGTAAAGTTGACAATTTGGCGGTGGAGTGGATAAAAACGCACATACGAAATCAGTCCGGTTAGACCGACCTGATGACCGACAATCGTCGTTAATCATTTTAACCACGAAGGTTAAATTAAACACTACAATCCGCAGGTGACCGGTGTCATGCGGATATGAAAGCATGATCCTCACCTGCATCACCCGGCTCGTATTGACAGTGACGATGCATTCGTACTTTCCCAGCTTGGCTTTCCTGTATATCTCCTCGACCATCATGTTCATAAGTCTAAGATTCTCCTGGGAGGTCAGCGACACGTCGCTGGCCATGTAGACACTGCGTAGAACCTTGCCCGGCGGAATTCCTTTCCGCTCGATGTCCCGTATCACATCTCTCTCTGCGCGTTCCAGCACGGCTACTAGTGGCGCCATCACTGGAGGATATATCCACGCTGGTTCGTCGGCCATGCTGCAATTGATGGCGCCGGCGATCACTCTGTTGTCTCCGTCGACTACTACAAAAGTTTCCTTGAAGTTGACGATGTCGTCCCAGTGCGATTTCAGTACGGCACTGTGTAGCTCGGTGGTGAGGCCCTCCAGTTGACTCTCCATGGCTCCCTTACTGAGGAATCCGGCCGCTCCGATGTGAAGCAGCGCTGTTGGCTCGTTGCGCTCACTCATCGGCATCACTCTGTAGTCGGCGTGTGCGTCGGAAAGGGCCACGTCAGCGCCGGCAGGCCGCACGGCCCGCACCACCTGCTTCAGCGTCGCCGCGCTGACAAACTCCGGTATGGAGAGCGAGATAGCGGCGTCGGCCAGACGCTGCACGAACAGAACCCCCGTGACGGAGTCGCCGCCGACGCGGAAGAAGTCGTCGTTCAGGTGTAGTGCGCCAGGTGGCAGCGCGAGCAACTGTTCGGCGGTCGACAGTACGGTGGCGGCGACGCGCTGTTCGTCCAGCGAAAGGTCATCGCACGACTGCGCGTCGTTGTCGTTGTCTCGCGACACTTTGCGCTGCGTGTGCCAGCTACGGAGCGTCTGTCTGTCCAGCTTTCCGCTGGTCAGCATCGGCATGTGCGTGACCAGCACGGCGTCTGGCAGCATGTACGCCGGCAGGTGTTGCGACAGGTGGTCGAATATAGCACGTTTTACGTGAAGCTGTAGATTTTGCAGATTTTTAAATTTTTGGAGTGAGGCATGGGAAACGAAATATCTCTAATCAAAAGAATTCTAACATTAGATTCGTTTCAGCTTCATAATTTGATTAAAATCATATATGTACATTGTATTAAAATCATATATGTACATGTATTATTTTGCATCATGAACTATACATCACACAAACAACTGCGGCGTTACGTTATTTCATTCGGCGTCACAGGGAATCGGAATGTTGACAATATTGACGCTCCGGCTTATTATTTAGGGGGACGCAATAGGTCCGAGTCTTTCAATAAGCACCTACTCTTGAGTATTGCTATTCGTTTTTAAATATATTGTTTTAATAGAATATGATTTCCTTCAGCAGATAGTCTGCTTGCGCTTACAGTAGGACCTACTTATCCAACGATTTACCGACGATTTTAGGAGTTTTTTTTATTGCTTTGCTGCTTTGCACTTACTGAAGTGAGGCATACGGTTAAAGTATATCGATATGAGTATATATCAATATACTCCTAAGTAGGTGCTCTCTATAGGTGATAATATCATCAAATTATATATGTATATATTTTGTTTAGCATCATAAAGAAATTCTCGTTCGCAACGCTAACGCCGACCAATGTCAAAGAAAAATGTACGTAATTATTTCCGGTGCTGTGAAAGAATTGGGTTGTTGAAAAGATTCGTCATATAAGATACGGGAAGAAATTGAGTGAAGATATTTGATGGCCGGTATGGAGTCATTGTATTACTAGCGGTTGATCAGCCCTGTGTAGTTACGGGATATGACGCATTGTAAAGTTGAATGAGTTGGAACAGTGAATTCGGATAGGTGAACGGGATAGATAGATGCTTTCTGGAAATTAAAGAAAACTTGCCAACATGTGACCTCAATTCTGCTGTGTGCCTGTTTCTTAACCAAACAGGGTTAAAACACGACAGTTAATTTTTGATAATTTCAAGCGCGATTTACATATGATATAGATAAATCGCGCAAGTAATCAATAAAATGTTTAGTTTCGGTTCTTTGAATATAATAGCTAAGCGTAGGATGCTATGTATGAAGATATGATCGCGCTCTCGTCTCGTATAGATCATTGGCGTTTTGTAAATAGTATATCAGAGTGAACGTATGCGTGTATCTTACATGATCTTATTGCGCGTAATGGCGTCATTGTTCCTCGTACTTACCACCACCGCTCGCGCGTGTGGGCTCTATAGTCAAAGAAGTGACGTCATTCCCCTAGCAACGATTATTACTGTTTACCAGTGTGAACGAAAAGACGTGATATCGGAAAATTCCTAAGAAAATGTCTAGAGATTTACCGTTATCTTCAAAACTCGTGGCCTGTGGCAGTGTAGTAGGTTTAACGACAGCCGGATTTTGCACAGGTTATATGCGTGCGCTTTGTAAACATTCGATATCGGGCAGACCAGTGGAGGATTCAGTTTCGATTATAACCAAAGCTATATTTATGTTCGTTCGAGTCAATATTTAAAAAAATGACAGCAGCAATATTAAAATCGAGTGTTGATATTCTTTTCAACGTGGATATTATGATTACACATTGGTGCCATGTTATATGCAATTAGGGTTAGTGTAGAATTTTGTTTATAAATAATAAAAAGATATTGAGCTATCTTTTAAAATTATGTTAAAACTATTTTTAAATATACAATATATAATTATAACGTATAATACATAATATAATACACACACACACATATATATATATATATATATACATATAATATATAATATATATTATAATAAATGTTAAAAATACATTTTCTGAAAACATACTAGTTTTGTATGTATGTATGATCATAAGCCTAATATTTATACTGATAGTATTATTAATCACTATATTATAATTAAATATATGCTTGGCACATTGAGGTTATCAATGAAGCCATCGCCGTTGTATATTTTATTTCGAATATTAACAGAGACTTCGGCACTATATATTGAAAAGCTCAGTTTAACTTCGTCTACTCTTTTATGCATAACGTCCATTCGACCCTCATACACTGCAATTTTGTATGAAATCCTTGCGGTTGCTTACACGTTTTTTTGCGTAGCATGTATTTGAGTTGATTTCAGTGGTCTCTAGTCGTCCGCACAATGAGGCGTCATTGAATGCGTGCGAGTGAACACGTGTCCCTCTTCTTGCTGTATTAGAAAATAACACCTACACCAGTAGACAATACTTTTTCAACTGTTTTTCTTTAGGCGATGCTAACAGGAGAAATGGGTCTGGCACCCTTGCACGTCTGCTAACGGGTGAAGGCATCAACGGCCTTGGCGGGCTGTTTATCGGTGCAGCGCAGGTGTCGTTGCGTATAGCTATCATCTGCACGCGCAGCATGCTTCAAGATATAACAAGATTCAATGTAGTGAGGGCGAGCATAGGCAGCTCAGACCTGCGTAAGGAGGTAAAACTGGCTGACAGTGAGGCTCAGACAGGTCACCACCGTTAAGGACAATGAGGCTCAGACGGAGCTCACCACCGTTAAGGACAATGAGGCTCAGACGAAGCTCATCGCCGGTACAGACAGTGAGGCTCAGACGGAGGTCACTGCAGTTACGGAGAGAGCGGCCCAGACGGAGGTCATTACCGTTACGGAGAGTGAGACTCAAACAGAGGTCATCATCGTTACGGACAATAAGGCTCAGACCAAGGTCACCACCGTTACGGAAAGTGATACTCAAACAGAGGTCATCATCGTTACGGACAATGAGGCTCAGACTAAGGTCAGCACCGTTACGGAAAGAAAGACTAAAGCGAAGGTTAACAGTTAATTAACGGGTCACTAACATAGACACTAATATAGTTTCACATTCTCTTGCAGTTTAGTATTTCTAAGCCGTTCGTCAACGTTGGAATTCTTCTTTCTCTCTTTCATTCTTTCTGTATCTCATTTTCTCCTCGCCCACCTCTCTCTCTCTCTCTCTCTCGCTCTCTCTCTCTCACTCTCTTCTCTCTCTCTCCTTCTCGTTCCCTCTCTCTGTTTTGCAATCGCTCTGTTGACGTTAATTCTTACGCGCGTGCTATCTCTCTTTTCCTTTTTTAACTATCCGTATCTATCTCTTTCGCTCTTCTCCTTTCCCTCTCTCTCCGACACACCGCCTCTCTCTATATCCGTATCAATTATGAATCTAAAGTAAATATATAGTCGATTTGAAATGCTAATCAATGGTTTCAGATCCAGGATACAACCCCACCTTCTAGCCAAGAAGCCGCAAATTGCGGGAAAATACGCAGAAGAAAAGAGAGGAAGGCCGCAAGACGCATTCTGCGCACACCCGATCCAGGTAGATTTCAGCAATTTACAGAGTGAGCGAGCGTTATATGGCACGAGGCTGCAGTGTCTCATCCAATGCTTCACGTTAACTAAACCTGTAATATTTTGCAGCCACGTTTGAAGACGAAGCCTACGTGACTGCTGTAGAGACAGACGGAGAGGCGATCGGTGCGCTCGTACTCGGTCATTCGCTGCGTCAGGCTCAGGTCACCCGCAGACTCGTCTGCATGCTCTCCGACAAAGTCTCATTGGAATATAGGTTAGAAAATAAACCGCACCATTCAGCTCCTCGTTGACTTAATCACCAGGAGACTATTACGGGTAAAACCTATAGTTATCATAGACTTTGCTGAACCTACTGGAGGCTTGACAAAATATAGCAATGATATGCAGGTATCATGACATTGTATATGCGCGTGTGCGCATGCGCAGATACCTGCTGTCGGAGCTGTACAACGACATGATACCAATTAGCGATCTGGAGAGGATCAACGCCATGCGGATGTCCGTCATAGACGAATCCCTAGCAGCACTTCGCATTTGGAAATATTGCCGCCACTACCGCAAATGTGTGTTCCTTGCGCCTGACACGCTGGTACGCCCCTCTCCTTCAACCTCTGTCGCTCCACTTGATCGCAAAACACACGTGACGCGCACGTTTCCCTCTCACGCGCGAGATGTAATCATGTATGTCATTCCGAATCACCTATACTTTCCGTGTGCATGTCAGACACTGCTACGTATGTCGCGCAATAATGTTCTTGCTTTGTAGATGACCCAGACATACGACGTTTTACTCTCTCGTAGGTGCACCACAACATCGACCATCTGTTCGGCGAACCTGAACTGTCCGCTGTGGCCTACCATCGCCGGCCCAAGACGTTCCACAGCAGCGTCATGGTCGTAGAACCGACAGCCGCTCATAATACTTTCAAAAAGTTAACGAAATTTGCCACACAATACGAGGATTCATGCGAATTCAGAGGTATGCAACCATTTTTGAGAGAGAGAGTACGCCAACGGAATTTTAACGCAAAGTACGAGACGTGTTTCGTCTATCAGCAAAAAGTGATTATGCTATATTGACTGTAGAAACTGTTAGTGAGAACCAATCTTTGATGTTCTTTATCAACGTTTCCTTAGCTGCATGACGAGTAACCTTGCGCTATCTTCTTTCACATTCTCACCTTAACATGCTTAACACGCTCGCAGCGTTGCGCGGATATTGCCAACACCGCTTATATTTAGGTGACAGTTGTTGTTACGTTCTGCTATTTCTGGCTGGTAAGACGTGTCGTCGTGTTCAGGTGCTGCCGACCAAATCCTCAATCGTCACTTTAACAGATGGCACGAGCTGCCACCGACCTACTGCTCTGAGGTCAACAGTTCGTTTGTCTACGTTCCTCCAGGAGGAGAGTAAGTTGGTGTCTTTTTTTCTCTCGAGCATCTCGATCCGTTTATGTTTTCCTATTGTTTGTCATCGATAGTTAGAATTGGCGGAGTAACCTGCGTTGCCGGTGTTTTTATCTACATATTAAACACAGTTCATAAATTTTAGTGTGCAAAACGTCTTTTTTCGATAAAAACGGCAAAATGTCATATGTGTTGAATTTTTGTAGGTTTGTGTGTGAGTTCCCATCGTGTATAAATGGAGCAGTAATGTCGGAGGAATATATACAAGTCAAGCCTTTGGCGCGAAAATATATAACGAATTATTATTAGGAGTGTATGATCAATTAGCGAATGTACGTGAATTGCAGTGCTAACACGCTGTCTCCGGACATACGGGTCTCGTGGTTTTCTGGAATGACGTGGAAGCCGTGGATGCTAGCAGTTTGCGAAAAGAAGAAGAAGGTAAGTTTAGTCATGAATCGCCACTTTACGAGCCTGTAGATAAATTAAGTTTATTAATTATAAATTAGTTATTAAATTAGTTATAAATTTTATAAATTAGGTTTAGATTAAAGAACGTGTTCTGAAATAAAAGCAAAATTTATCATCGCCGTCGTCGCTCTTTTCATCGTTCTCTTTATCATCTCCATTACCACAACAACTTCTATAATCACAACTGAAACCATGAACAGAAATTAATGTTATGCATGGAAATACTTTCACAGGTTTTATGCTTGGGAGGTGGACAGGTTATTCCGCATCTTGAAAAATGGGTTGCGATTTATGAAAAGCACGTCCTGCCCCTTCTCTCCCTCGACAGCGTTAGATTTATTGTACGTACCGTATATGGCGTTGTATTAGCCTGATATTGCTATATATAATATGGAATTGAACGGATAAAACTTTGCAACGTAGTTAAACGTATATATTCCGCATAAAATGTCTATGAAATTATGATGATGATAGTGTATTAGGCTCGGTCATCACAATTACATAATCTATTTACCTTAGAACGGAACCCCGAGATCATTACGAAATTGGCCAAAGAATGCCAATGTTATCGACGAATGCCCCGTGTCAACACTAGACCACATAGAGCTGCATAAAGAGCCAATGCCGATGGTAAGTACATTCACGGTTATGTCTGTACGAACTTAATCAAACTCGTATATGCGAGCACGCATTTCTGGTCTAAATTAATTATGTTTTTTGTTGGTGTAACAAGCTTTAGCTCGTACGTGCCATTACATTGCTTACCGCCTTTATTTGTTGTTAACACGCTTGGTTATTAGAGTAAATAAAATAACGATAAATGCGTTAGTTGAAGGATCCCTACAATTGCATAGTTTTCGTAACCGCTATTAAGTTTATCCTCTCTGACCAAATTCAACCAGGTACTATATATAATATCAAGAGCGTATAAAGAAGGGCCTTCTTTATACGCTCTTAATAATATCTAATAATGTCGAGTTATATCGTAAGATAATGGTGTACTCTATCCATGTTCAGAGCACCAGGTGCGATGAAGCGAAACCCTCGAATCGCAGGCGACCGTGGACGCCTGCTTCAATGCCAATGCTATGCAGCTGGTAGTCTGGTACGGTCAGATGAACACCGCAAATAACGATGAAGGGCAAACGTCGAGATGAACACTTAGCATGAACTACGGGCTTTGCAAATGTTTAACTTTAATAACGTCGGATTTAATATGGTAAAATTTGGCTAGGAAATAAGCACCTTCAATTGATATGATAATGGGGATGTGAATGAGAGAGCGACAAAGTTACAGTCAAATGTGGAAGTACGATGCCAACGACGACATGCGCATCTATTTGTATATTTTTTATGTACAGTTCATTTTACGTTAATAAACGCTGTTAAACGGCAATGTTACTACATTGGCTAATCTATCGTGTCATTCATATCATTTTAAATCTATATTTTAAAGGCTATACAACGTCACATTTTAGTTTTACTGCTCATAAAACACCTAAATTAATAGATGTTTGATCGCAAGAACCTATCGCACGTTTTAAGGATTTTCCGCCCTATTATGTAAGTCATTCTGATCTTTCAATTTTTATATCAAAGCACTCCGAAGCATGTGCTCTTTAAAATTACGGGCATGAAAAAGTTATTTAATAAAAAATAAAGTCTAAAAAATGCACATCCATGATTCGTTTGGCATCATACAGTTATTTTCATTTTCGACATTAGTGCCGACCAGCTGCAAAAAAAATCTATAATTTCAGTCGGCGTCGCGGGTATTAGGATGTCGACAGGCTTGGGCTACGTGTTATCATTTATTCGAGAAAGAAGAATCCAGATTTTTATTAGAAACCGCAAATTTCGGTATGTGGCGCCAACATAATTTCTAGTGGAGATAGTGGAGAAAATTTTGAAACAGCGCCACGGGCTATCAAGTAGCACAGATAGTAATTAGCACGACTATGACGTAAGCTGTACATAACATATAGGTTGCATGCATGACACCAGTTACTATAGCTCATAGGGTCTATGTCCCCCAGGGTACTGCCGGAACGTACCATGGGTACGGTTCGGTATACCGGAACGTACCCTGGTAACTATCTGATATGGTTAGGGTTAGGGTTAGGGTTAGGGTGTGAGGGTTACGGTTAGGGTTAGGGTTAGGGTTAGGGAGTAGCCGTAAGCGACTCCCTAGACTCGTTAGTGGAGTAGGCGAGGTACGGTCCGGCATATTAGATAGTATCATGGTACGTTCCGGTATACCGGACCGTACCCAGGGTACGTTCCGGCAGTACCCTAGGGGATATAGACCCTCTCAGCGTTACTATATGATAACAATGCACGTATAAAGAAAAACATTTAGAGCATGAGAGAGGGGAAGAGAGCGGGAGAGAGGGGGAGCAAAAGAGAGAGGGGAGAAGGAGATGGAGAGTGACAGGAAAAGGGCGAGAGATGCAGAACGAGAGGGGGAGAGCCGGGATATTGAAACCATGAAATGGCCATAATGGACTATATACTCAAATTTTGAGCGTGCATATTTACAGGGGTTAATAATGACAAATTGTCATTAAGAGACTGACGAACGGCGACAGGGAAGATAGCTGAGGGGCGGTACAAGAAGAAGGAAGCTTAAATGCATATTCATTACAAAATATAACAACCAACAAATATAACTTGGTGGTCTGGTGAGATATTGCACATGCGCTAACACACTAACGTAACCAGATTGTGTACTGACTGCATAATACATGTAGCAGGGACCTTACATGCAAGGTATTCTTCCTATTTCGTAAGAGAGGTCTACTGATGGAATGTTGTCATATTCATCTATGATAGAATGCCTCCTCTTCATTTGAAATGCATAGTTTTCGCAAAATATTACTCCTCCCTGGAGATATTGCGCATGCGCGAGCACCGTCTTAGGCGTGCAGTACGAGCTGAGGAAAAATGCATAATATAGATTGCTAAGAGCGAGCGGTGGGAAACTGAAGAAAGACGGCAGGGAAGATAGCTGAGGGCGGTAGAAGGAGAAGGAGGCTGGGCGAGAGACAAGGGAGGCAAACGAAAGGACGGGAGGGGATGAAGTAGAAGTTTTGCACCCTACATGCTAGGGCGCTCTCTTAATTATAATCATAGGTCTACTGATGACAATTTATTACAGAAATCTATGCTGAGATACCCTCTAACCATATTAAATGCATATTCATCACAAAATATAACTCGTCTGGTGAGATATTGAGCATGCGCGTAGAAGAAGAAGGAAGCTGAGCGAGAGAATTCCATATCGTTAGAGGGTACCTCAGCATTAGAACTGGATTGGAAAATGTAATAAGTGACATAAAAGTGGTAAATAATGACAGATAAGCAAATATGGTAACTTTGTAGCTTTCCTGCGTTTATTAATTTAAAGCACTCGTTTACAACAACGATACAAGCTGCGCCCATGAAGACGTCCCAGGCGATCTCAATTATAACTTTTATAAAAAGTAATATTATTATTAATAATAATAATAAAGACACATGATCGTTTAAAAAATGTAGTATGCTCTCTAATATCATGTATATTAATCTCATTAGAAAGGCATCACACGCCTTGATGGCCCCCCCCCCAACAAAACAAAAAAAACGAGACTCATGGTCTGTGCTCCTCGCCAGGATTTATGTTGTTTTCTCCTGAAATTTCTACTGCTGTTCTAATCCCACCATCAGTAATAACATGTAAGAAAGATTCGCCTGATGTCCCGAATTTCCTATTCAGTCAAATAAACAATCAATAAATATTATCATAATCTGCTAATCATCTTCGAGCATTTGTCAATAATACATTCGTTACTATATCGTTAAACATTTGCAATGCTCGTAGTTCATTCTCAGGTTTCATGTTGAGTCCGAGGTTTGTCCTTCATCGGTCATCGCTAGCTTCATCTATTCATACCAGCTGAACATCATCGGCATTGAGGCAGGCGTCTACGGTCGCCTGCGATTTGATGGATGCTTTTCCTCGCACGTGGTGTTCTGAACATTAATAGATTACATAACCATCTTATAATACAGGTCAAATTCATAGAAAATCATAGTACCGAGTTGAATTCATACAAATATGTGAAACCCCTAATCAATAACGGCTACGAAAGCCTAATTTTATCACATTTTATCGATAGTTACTTTATTAGATGGTAACTTTCTAATTGAAAGCTGATTCATTTAATATAATGTCCTTGCGAGTACAACTTACCAAAGAACCGTGATATGCAATGCAATGGTATGTACGTGCAGACGCGTTAATTCATTTATTCAATAATAAATGAATTCGTTTGAATTAATTAGTTGAAATGAATTATAGTAGTTTAAACTCGCGCAGAACTAGTTTAATAAGTTCATACGTGTTTAATATAGGTTCGTACGAGTTTGATATAGGTTCGTACGTGTTTAATATAGGTTCGTACGTGTTTAATATAGAATCGTACGTGTTTAATTAGGGTTCGTACGTGGTTAATATAGGTTCGTACGTGTTTAATATAGGTTCGTACGTGTTTAATATAGGTTCGTATGTGGTTAATATAGGTTCGTACGTGGTTAATATAGGTTTGTACGTGTTTAATATAGGAACGTACGTGTTTGATATAGGTTCGTACGTGTTTAATAAAGATTCGTACGTGTTTATTATAGGTTCGTACGTGTTTAATCAAAGCTCGTACGTGTTTTATATAGGTTCGTACGTGTTTAATATAGGTTCGTACGAGTATAATATAGGTTCGTACGTGTTTAATATAGGTTCGTACGTGTTTAATATAGAATCATACGTGTTTAATATAGAATCATACGTGTTTAATATAGGTTCGATTGTGGTTAATATAGGATCGTACGTGTTTAATATAGAATCGTACGTGTTTAATATAGGTTCATACGTGTTTATTATGGGTTCGTACAGATTCAAGCCTTGGTTTACTTACCATCCGCGTTACTTCCTCCTCCAGCGCTAACTTCTCTAGAGGTGCCACGGAACATTCTTCTATCACGTTGACACTCTTTTCCCATTTTGGTAAAGGTCTCGGGATCTTGTTCTATACTGTAAGCAAGTGGTGTACGTGATATGCCGCGAGTGACAGACGCCATAATTCCATCCACATTATATATAATACGAAAATAATATATTACGTGTAATAAATTATTATAATACGGTAACAATACGATCAAATTTGCTGCTAATTTTCATAAATTTTGCCCCAATTTAGGTATTAGCAATTTGTAAACTGGTAAGAATTTATATAGGCCTATAGTACGTACCAAAAATCTAACGGTTTTGAGGGATAGAAGGGGTAGGATGTGCTTGTCAAATAGCAACTCACTTTTCAAGATGCGGGATAACCTGTCCACCTCCCATGCACAAAACCTGGAAAGTATTTCATTACGTAACATTAATATCTGTTCACGGTCTCAGCTGCGGTTATAGCCATAGTTGTGGTAGTGACGATGATGAGGAGGCCGATGAAAACAACGTCGATGACGATAATAAATTCTCGCGTTAATTCACGTCAGATTCTATAATTATAACTAATATTCCTTTAGCTGTTAGAGTAGTTGAGTAGCTGTTATAGTAAGTTGTTAAGTAACGACTATACCGACCTTCCGCTCCTTTTCACAAACTGCTAGCATCCACGGCTTCCACGTGTTTCCAGAAAATCACGAGACCCGTATGTCTGGAGACAGCGCGTTAGAGCTGAAATTCATGCAGATATTCAAATTAATCATGCAATGCTATAAAAATTAACATAAGTTCGTTCTATATGCACGCCTTTGGCAAGCAAATTATTTTCCGATTAAAACCATGTAATGAGTACAATACAGACAACGCCATAAAAGTTGCACACGCGCGACAGATTTATCGTTTTTTATCAGAAAAGGTTCACGTAAGCCAAAATACCCGCACGTACGGTTTAATGAGTAGAAACGAACCCGGGTAACGCCGTGTACCCCACTCATTATGATTATATCAATGTCATACATACTATTAAAAACATTAACATGCTCGTGAAAATAATGACAGAAACCGACTTACTCTCCTCCTGGAGGAACGTAGGCAAACGAACTGTTGACCTCGGAGCAGTAGGTCGGTGGCAGCTCGTGCCATCTCTTAAAGTGACGATTGAGGATTTGGTCGGCACAACCTGAATACGACGCGACACGTCTTAACACCTAGAAATATCAGATTCTAACAACAACAACAACTCTACTTAAATACACGCGGTGTTAGTAGTGTGCGCGTGCAGTGTAGTGAGCGCGTTCAGCATGTAAAGGTGGATAGCATAGCAGGTGAATTCTTCATCTAGCTAAAGAGTCGCTTAACGTAATGACAGTATAGGCTATAGCAAACATCGAGCATTTTGGTTCTCGTTGGTACTTCATGTAGTCAATATGTCAAATAACTTATTGCCGGTATACGAGACACTATGGAATTGACCGCGTTTAGAGCTTGCGCTTAGATTTCCCAACCCTCCACGTAGAATTATAGTCACTTACTGCTAAAGTCGAGCGAATCCTCGGGCTAAATTTCGGGCTAATTTCTGTAACCTTTTGAACGTGTTATGAGCGGCCGTCGGTTCTACGACCATGACGCTGCTGTGGAACGTCTGAGGCCGGCGATGGTAGGCCACAGCGGAGAGTTGAGGTTCGCCGAACAGATAGTCGATGTTGTGGTGCACCTGCGAGAGAATGACACGTCGCATTTTCATCCAGGTAATCTACATATTATTATGTGAAACATGCAACAGCGTATATTGTGTGCAGAGAAAGAGTACGTAGTTTGAAGTGACATGCAGGATCACATCTCATATACGGGAGAGGAAAACGTACGCGCCAAGCCTTAAAGACGCGCGTTGAAAGCTAGAGGAAAGACAGGTTGAACAGAGGTTGAAGGAGAGGGACATACCAGCGTGTCAGGCGCAAGGAACACACATTTGGAGTATTGGCGGCAATACTGCCAAGTGTCAAGTGCTGCTAGGGATTCGTATATGAGTCTGACGGACATCCGCATGGCGTTGATCCTCTCCAGAACGCTAATTGGTATCATGTCATTGTACAGCTCGGACAGCAGGTATCTGCGCATGCGCGCACACACCCACATTTAATGTCATCACACACGCATTTCTTTACTAGATTACGTCAAGCTTATAGTAGACGCACCATAGGTTATGATGATTGTACGGTTTGTTTTACCCGTAATAAACGCGTGCCGATTAGGGAGAACGAGGGACCGCATGTTACTGGTCATTTTCTCACCTGAATTCCAGAGAGACTTTGTTGGTAACCATGCAGACGAGTCTACGGGTGACCTGAGCCTGACGCAGCGAATGACCGAGTACGAGCGCACCGATCGCCTCTCCGTCTGTCTCCGCCGCAGTCACGTAGGCTTCGTCTTCAAACGTGGCTGCAAATATTACAGGTTCAGTTAACGTAAAGCATTACAAAAGGAATCTCGATCTGCATTGCCCCCTAGCGGCATTTGACGCACACTCTGTAGATTGCATAGCATATTATACCTGGCTCAGGTTTGCGCGGAATTCGTCGTGTCGCCTTCTTCTGCTTTTTTTGCGTAAATTTCCACACTTTTTAGCCTCCTGGTTAGTGGGTGGGACTGTATCGCTGCTCTAAAATTATAGATTAACATTAGAAATTAACTGTGTCTACATATATGACCGGTAAATATGACCCGCTTTCTTCTCTCGCTCTCTTTTCCTCTCTCGTCGCGTGCTCTCTCTCTCTCGCGCGCGCTCTTTCTCTCTCTCTCTTTCTCCCTCTCCCCCCCTCTCTCTCTCTCTCTCTCGCGCGCTCTTTCTCTCTCTCTCTCTTTCTCCCTCTCCCCCCCTCTCTCTCTCTCTCCCCCTCTCTCTCTCTGTCTGTCTCTCTCTCTCTCCTTCTCTCTCTTGATCTCTCTCCGCTGTTCTCTATTGCACAGTCTCTGACAGTCTCTCACACTATATACATACCACCATGGATCTGTTACATATGAGATATGGTAGATTTCTAATGTTAATCTATGATTTAAGATCAGCGATACAGTCCCACGCACGGGAAATTGCGGGAACTTACGCAGAAGTAAAGAGAGGAAGGCCACACAACGAATTCCGTGCAGACCCGAGCCAGGTAGGTGGTATGATATACAATCTACAGAATGTCAGAGCGAGTGTCAAATGCCGCTAGGGGGCAACGCAGATCGAGATTCCTTTCCTAATGTTTCACGTTAACGAAACCTGTAATATTTGCAGCCACGTTTGAAGACGAAGCCTACGTGACTGCGGCGGAGACAGACGGAGAGGCGATCGGTGCGCTCGTACTCGGACACTTACTGCGTCATGCTCAGGTCACCCGTAGACTCGTCTGCATGATTACCAACAAAGTCTCTCTGGAATTCAGGTGAGAAAATGACCAGTAACATGCGGTTACTCGTTCTCCCTAATCCGCACGCGTTCATTACGGGTAAAACAAAACGTATGATCATCATAACCTTTGTTGCGTCTATTATAAGCTTGACGTAATCTAGTAACGGAATGCGTGTGTGATGACATTAAATGTGGGTGTGTGCGCATGCGTAGAGACCTGCTATCGGAGCTGTACCACGACATGATACCAATTAGCGGCCTGGAGCGGATCAACGCCATGCGGATGTCCGTCATGGACGTGTCCCTAGCAGCACTTTCCACTTGGCAGTATTGCCGCCAATACTCAGAATGTGTGTTCCTTGCATATCCACGCTGGTACGTCCTTCTCCTTCAACCTCTGCCTATCCTCTCGTTCACAACGCGCGCTTTTAAGGTTTGGCGCGCACGTTTTCTTCTCCCTTATATATACGAAATGTTATCCTGCATTTCATTCCAAACAACGTTCTGTTTCTCTGCACACGATATACGCTGTTGCCTGTTTCACATAATAATGTGTAGATTATCTGGATGAAAATGCGACAATTCATTCTCTCGCAGGTGCACTACAACATCGACCATCTGTTCGGCGAACCTCAGCTCTCCTCTAGCTGTGGCCTACCATCGCCAGCCTCAGACGTTCCACAGCAGCGTCATGGTCGTAGAACCGACGGCCGCTCATAATACTTTCAAAAAGTTACGGAAATTGGCCCGAAATTGCGAGGATTCGTTTTTCGGCTTTAGCAGTAAGTGACTATAATTCTACGTGGAGAGAGCGGTAGGGGAATTTAAGCGCGAGCTGAAAACGCGGTCAATTCTATAGTGTCTCGTCTACCGGCAGCAAGTTGCTTGACATATTGACTACATAAAGTACCAACGAGAAGCAAAATGCTCGATGTTTGCTATATAGCCTACCGTCATTACGTTAAACGACTCTTTAGCTAGATGAAGGAGTAACGTTGTGCTATACACATTTACATACTGAACGCGCTTACTGCACTGCACGAGCACACTACTAACACCGCGTGTATTTAGGTAGGAGTTGTTGCTGTTAGGGTCTGCTATTTCTGGGTGTTAAGACGTGTCGCGTCGTCTTCAGGTTGTGCCGACCAAATCCTCAATCGTCACTTTAAGAGATGGCACGAGCTGCCACCGACCTACTGCTCCGAGGTCAACAGTTCGTTTTCCTACGTTCCTCCAGGAGGAGAGTAAGTCGATTTCTACCGTTTTATCGCGAACATGTTAATGTTTTCTAATAATATAATATTCATATAATCATCATTAGTGGGGTAGCAGGCGATGCCCGGGTTCGTTTTTACGCATTAAAGGTTCGTACGGGTATTTTGGTGTACGTAACTTCTCTCTCTGATAAAAAACGCAAAAAGCTCGCGTAGGTAGATTATTCTATGACGCTGTGTGTCATGCACTCATGGCTGTGTCGGGCAAGAAATTTGTTAGCCGAAAGCGCGCATAAGGAGCGAACAAATGTGACTTGGATTGCTATAGGATTGTATGATTAACTTGTGAATATCTCGTGAATTTTAGCGCTAACACGCTGTCTCCACACATACGGGTCTCGTGGTTTTCTGGAAACACGTGGAAGCCGTATGTGCTAGCAGTTTGTGGAAAGGAGCAGAAGGTCGGTATAGTCGTTAGTTAGGCCCTACTACTTTACGAGGCTAAAAAATATTAGCTTTCATTATAGAACATGGCCCAAGTTAACGCGAGAATTTATCATCGTCATTGTCGTTGTTTTCATCGGCATCCACATCATCGCCACTACCACAACTATGGCTATAACCGCGACTGAGACAGCGAACAGATATTAATGTTACGTAATGAAATACTTTCCAGGTTTTGTGTATGGGAAGTGGACAGGTTATCCCGCATCTTGAAAAGTGGTTTGAGATTTATGATAAGCACGTCAAACCCCTTCTCTTCACGCTTCTTTGGTAAGTTGTACTCGCGAAAATTGAATTATACGAAGCAGCTATGAATTCGAAATTGAACAACTAATAAAGTAATTATCAATAAAACTTGCATAGCATTTTATAGCCGTTATTGCGGTTCATCTCTTTGCACGAATTCGATGCGGTACTATAATTTCCCGTAAAGTCGACCTTTATTATGAGATGGTTATGTAATGTATTTATATGTTCAGAACACCAGGTGCGAAGCAAGGCATCCATTAAATGACAGGCGACCGTAGACTCCTGCCCAGCTAACACATAACGTTTTCGCAACGTTTTTGAATGGTTATTTTATGGTTTGGTATGAATGAAACGTTTTCCAAACGTTCGTAAAACGTTTCTAATAAAGTTATATTTATGTTATTTAAAAACGTTTGCTAAAAACGTTTTATTACGGTTAGTAAAACGTTTATAATAAGGTTATATTTAAGTTATTGAAAAACGTTTGCCAAAATCGTTTTGTTAAAGTTCAGTAAACGTTGATAGTAACGTTACATGTCGGTTCTTAACAAACGTTTGCCAAAATCTTGTTATAAACCACTACGTAACATTTACAATGAGGTTGTGAAATGGTTCCCTAAAAACGTTGAAAACCAAAGTTTATTTACTGTTTGCATTACCTAGCCTATGTTTAGGTTCCTGACAAACGATTTACTATAACTACATTTTATTCACATTTGAAACCTAGTAGGGTTACGTTTCAGTTTGTGTTAATTAGTTACGTCGAGAAAGTGCCCGACGGTGTGTAGGCACGTGATCGTGTAGGTGATAATGTTCTAAATCCTGCGGTGTTTTGTTGTTCTTAACCCGTTGTCTCGTTTCGTGTTTGCGTTACCGCATGAAGGAATGTTAACTAGTTTCCCTGTGTCTGGTGAGGCGTAGTAACGAAGATAACACCAATGATTTCACAAGTCCATAAGTGAGTTTTCCACGCACAAGAATTTATTACCGCTCATGACACACACGTGAGCAAGAGTCCAGAATTGTATTAGCATAGCATATGACTCTGTCCGTCCGTCCGTACGTCAGTCTCTGAGGTCGTCCGTCCGTCAGTCTCTGAGGTCGTCCGTCCGTCCGTACATCAGGCTTTCCAACGCAGTAAGAATATATGTGCGCACCCCGGGAGAGCTCCCAAGGTGTGTCTATATATATACGACCAGCGAGGTGACGTCATATGTTTCTACCCGCGTGTGAGACCACATTGCGTACACGTGCACACGTTCTCCCCAACAACGTGTTAAACATCTAGCAATCACGTCTCACTCACGTGTACACATACGTGTACTCGGTAACTCGACACTATGTTATTCAACTGCGCACGTCCGGTCTTCTCCGAATTCTGCCTTCACAGGTCCGGGTGTGCGTCTACGCAGTAGAATTTACATCCTGTGTGTTGCATCCTTAGCTAGTCACATGTATAATTCTACCATGAATATTTTAAATTAATTACTTTAACTGAGCAGTCACTTTTAAATAATCTACAAATTGACTGCGCACTGTTACACATTCACGCGGGCGCGCACACATACGTAAGCATGCACGCACACACTCACGCATGCACATCCGTGCACACGCACGCACATCCGTGCACACGCACGCACACCAACACGGCCACACCCATATACAGGCACACACACGTGCGCGCACACACACGCACACACACTCACACACACGCACACACACAAACACACACAAACACACACACGCGCGCGCGCAACATGTATTATGTTGGTCGTACACCAAGGCGCGGCTGTGATAGTGAACCACGCTCTGATAGTGAACCACGCATACACACATCAGGGCCGGTTCCAGGGCTGAGGCTAGACAGTATTTTTCCAGATTTAAAGGGCACATCCCCAAAAAGGGCACACCACCCAACAGTGAGCGCAAAATTTCGAAGGGAACTTTGAAATCTAGACCGTATTT